TATAAACTTGAGAAATACCCAACATCTAGAGACTGTAAAAGGTGTGTGGAATTGGGTACCAAACATATAAAAGTTATATTATGCTTTTCACACATATTTAAGGCTTTTAAAGATATATGAGCACTTAAATTATCACAAATCAGAATTTTTTTACCTTCCTTATTTATAATAATTGGAGCAAAGTGATTTAACAGCCACTCTTCAAATATTTGAATTTCCATCCAGCCACTGCAAGAAGTTCCCATTCTTGATCCTTCTGGTGCATTAAAAAGCCAGTCAGACCAACTGTGTTTTCCTTTAAAAATGAAAAATGGTGGAATTAGCTTTCCTGAGGCATTTCCACAAAAAACAGCAGTGTAACAAGATTGTAGTGTTTCTTATAAGTTTTGGATGGCGAGAGGATCAACGAAAAATAAGTTTTTTTTTCCAGGGTTGTCATGAAACCCTGTTTCATCCATATTATAAATGTTATCTGGCGTTACTCCATTTAATTCCTTCTCTAGATTTTGAAAAAATAATTCCATTTGACAATAATTAACCTGTGCACGTTTCCTTGAAATACAATGAGATAATTTTTCTTTTAATGATGGATGTCTGTCAAGATAAAGTCTACTACATATATATATATATATATATATATATATATATATATATATATATATATATATATATATATATATATATATATATATATATATATATATATATATATATATATATATATATATATATATATATATATATATATATATATATATATATATATATATATATATGTATATATATATATATATATATATATATGTATATATATATACATATATATATATATATATATATATATATATATATATATATATATATATATATATATATATATATATATATATATATTATATAATATATATATTATATAATATATATATTATATATATTACATATATATATTATATATATATATATTATATATATATAATATTTTGTGTTGTTGCAGATATGGACCCTCCTCCAATGCATTTCCACAATCGTTAGCAAGTCAATTTATTTTATCGTGGCCATGCTGAATTTTATATTGTTGAATCAGATCTCTACATAGTCTACGTTCTTCCAGTGACGTTAATTGCATAATATTCAACCTAGCCTCATATGATAATTTCCTAATTGTAGGTGCTAGTTTGGTTGCTCTTTTTTGGATTTTCTCAATCTTGTCAATGTCTTGTTTTAAAAATGGAGACCATGCCTGGACCGCAAACTCAAGATGTGGACGTACGAACGTTGTGTGGGGGCATTTTTACCATGTTTACATCTAAATATTTAAAGCTTCTCTTTATGGTACCTAACATTCTGTTTGCTTTGCTGGTTGCTGAATCAACTTGTGAGTGCCATTTTAAATCGGATTGAACCATTATACCCAAATCACGTTAAGCTTTTGTGTTACACAATGTATAATTATAATTGCAATTAATATCAGTCATTATAAATGTAGCATTTGGGTTTTTTTTCCCAATATGCATAACTTTGCATTTTTCATAATTAAATTTTGTGAGGCAAATAGATCACCATGCCATTATATTATTTATATCATTTTGAAGGCTTATTAAATCATTTGGATTTTTTATAATATTTATTATTTTACTATCATCAGCGTAAAAATTAATAGGTTTTTGACTTGATCTGGCAAATCGTTAATAAAAATCAATAACAGCAGTGGTCCTAAAACTGACCCCTGTGGTACACCACTAATAACTGGTAGCCAATCTGAGACAGTATCGCCAAGGACCACTCTCTGTTTTCTGTTAGTTAAAAAGTTCTCTATCCATCCCAGATAATTTTTGACAATACCATATGATTGAAGTTTAGTGATCAAACGCGAGTGTGGTACTTTATCAAAAGCCTTTTCAAAGTCTAGATACAACATATCAACTGAGTGGCCATTTTCTAGTGCATCTGTTATGATATCAAGAGTTTCCAATAGGTTTGTTTTGCAGCTTTTTATTTTTTCTGAACCCATGCTGATTTTCATTTAATAAGCTGTTATTTATTAGATAATCCATAATTTCATCTCTAACGAGTGATTCCAAAACTTTACATGGGATAGAAGTCAATGAGATTGGCCTGTAATTAGATGCAATGTTCGTATTACCTTTTTTAAAAATTGGTGTTATATTTGCTAATTTCCAGAGCTCAGGTAATTTTTTCTCAGTCAACGATTTTATATATATTAAATGTAATGGTTCACAGAGAGTAGTATGACATTTATTTAAAACATATGGGCTTATCCCATCTACTCCGATAGCTTTGTAAACATCTAATTTTTTTAATTTTTTTTCAATAGTATGGCAAGTTATTTTATTATTTATATATATATATATATATATATATATATATATATATATATATATATATATATATATATATATATATATATATATATATATATATATATATATATATATATATATATATATATATATAGAGAGAGAGAGAGAGAGAGAGAGAGATATACAGATATATAGATATATAGATATATATTAGACATCTATTATATTTATTATATATTATTGCAAAATAATCTGTTTTACTCAGACAGCAAAAAAAGCACTTTTAGGAAACACTGATTATTCAAAGTTACCCTGATTTGGGTTATATTTTAGCTAAGTAAAAATAAATATCCTTTTAGTAGCAAAAAACATGTAATTTCCTATTATTTGAGTTTTTATTAAAATTCGAAAAATAATTCAATAAAATACTAAAAAATCTATTCTGATATTTACAATTTAATTGTAAATATCAGAATAGATTTTTTATCATTATCAGAATAGATTTTTTAGTATTTTATTGAATTATTTTTCGAATTTTAATAAAAACTCAAATAATAGGAAATTACATGTTTTTTGCTACTAAAAGGATATTTATTTTTATCGAATGTGGTGATAATATCGTGTGTTGTCAATTTAGAATATTTGTTACTAAATTGGCAATTTAGTAACAAATATTCTAAATTGACAACACACGATATTATCACCACATTCGATAAAAATAAATATCCTTTTAGTAGCAAAAAACATGTAATTTCCTATTATTTGAGTTTTTATTAAAATTCGAAAAATGGAAAACTGGAAATCGAGGGGATAAATATTTTTGAGAAACAAAATTCAATTATCTATGGTCAAACTTTTGTAAAAAAGGATAATTTATCATATCATCCTTTGTTAAAGCAACAGGCAAAGAAAATACCAAAGAAAAAAAAAATTAAAAACATTTACACGTTTTATTCAATGTTACACGCAAATTTAAAGTTACCCAGAATGACTGTACCGAAAGCAGTTTTTTGAATGGGGCTAAAAGTTATGAATATTTATGCAAAAACGACTTTTGTAGAAAAATTAACACTACTATAGTTTATCTAAATCTAACGTGACATTATTGTTAAACATACTCATTTAGGTGTGGTATTAAAAGTAAAAACTTCAATTTTCTTAAAAAAATGGTTTTTCAGGGATATTTTTCCCAAATAATGTCTGATTATAAATGTCAAGTTACATTCATTGAAAACAAACACCAATACGTGCTTTAATGAAAAAATCAAGTCCATAGACGTATCTAAGCCCCAAAGTATTTTATGTTGAAAATTACATCTTTTCTAAATAAAATTACCCTTGACAATTTTTTATAGTCGCATTACTTTTACCAGATTATAAAAGTGGTTAAAATAATATGTCATACTTTTTGATGACAAAACATACATAAATTTTAATTGAAAAAAATTATTTTTTTGTTTGGAAAAACGTGTATCACGCCTTACTTGATTTGAGTAGTTGCAGTATCGTTTAAATTTTCGATTTTACTTAATTAAAAATACATTATTATCTATAATTTTATATAATGGACAATAAGCTGCGATGGCCGAGTGGTTAAGGCGTTAGACTTGAAATCTAATGGGATCTTCCCGCGTAGGTTCGAACCCTACTCGCAGCGTCAACTTTTGATTTTATTACAAGTTTTTACTTAATAGAGTAACTCAAGGTAGAATTAAAATGAGGAAATCAGGTGTGACAATATTTATCATTTTGCTCTTTATTAATTATTGAATAAAGTTTTTGCAAATATTTTTCGATCGTGTTGTAAAGTACCTTTTTCTGATAAAGATAATACAAAATTTTATTTACCAACAAAATTGTTTATTTTAAACATGTTAGTTTTCTTGTTTTAGATGATCAAACAAGGTCATTTTTATAAAAATAAACTAACTCTTAATATTGTTTACCAATTTTTCTAAACAATATTAAGAGTTTGTTTATTGTTATAAAAATGGCCTTTTTTTTTTTTACAATGCTTTGATTGCTTACGTTTTGAAAAAAATTCATTGGATGATTTTTTTAAAAAGTAAAATGTTGTTAACTTTAAATTATGCGGTATTTAATTATAAATTATGCTACTACTAACATTGTTGCTTAAAAATGACGTATTTTTATTTCGTTCGCCAGTAGGGATGGCTCTTTTACTTATTTTGATGTAAAAACGCGAATTACTTTTTAACGTAAATTACTTTACATAACCAGGGTCGTGTTAGGTCCTTCTCGGCCTCCCCGCACTTAATATTTTCTGGCCTTCTATTAGCCTTCTGGTATTCAAATTTAACAGCGGCTTAAAATAACAAAAATATTGTAATTGTTGCTTTGGCTTTTTATGTATTTTCTTTTGTATTTAAACAAGCATCTTGCGTTATTTATTTTTAAAAACACGCTGTGATTAGTATAGGTTTTAAAACACCTTTTGTCTGCATTTTAAGCGTGGAAATACAGATACTATATTTTTCATATCGATGGAATCCAATGCCCGGCTTTCTATTTGAACAAAAAAGAGATCTGAAAGACGCCCTGACCTATTAAATAATTAACTAATAGAAGATATCATGTAACTTTAAAAATTGGAAAATATACGAGTCTGCTATTAATTAGGATTGTTAATGTTCAAGAGATATTTAATAACGAGTTCTTTATATTATAAGTATTTTTTATGTTTGTTATATACCTCTAGTTGAACTATAAAAATTTTTGATACTTTTCAATGTTGAAAGTGAACGTTCTTCAGAACAATTTTTTGCAGTGGTGATCAAGAAGATTTGAAGGGCTGCGTCAATATTAAAGAAAAGTGATTCAAAATTCTTAAATCTAATTAATTTTAAAAGATCCAGAGTTCAAGTTTTGATCAAGTGATCTTCGAGATGCTGCAGAGATTGACCGAAGGCACGGCTTTCTTTTCATTTTGCTTGAAATTAGAGCGAGCATATAATGCTCCAAGGAATTGTACAGTTCTTCAACCATACCTAAATTAAACTCGACGAACTGCAATTTCTTGATAACTTGGTTGAACTTCTCAAAGATTCTTTTACGAATAATTATTAAAATAACTGTCTCAAGTTGTTCCATTTTGGTCAAAAGCCCGAATGCCTCCGCTCTCGTTTTATCTTTCTGAGTAGGGTCGTCGTTAAGATCAAGAAAAACCGTCTATATAGAAAGTATTTACTAATAGGTATTCACAATCACAAATGAAATATGTTTTTATTCATTTTTTCAAACAATTCTTAATCACCTTTATTGGTGTCATTCTTTGATCAGATTTCTGTATGAGTGACACCATCCTAATAAATCCTTAACTTATTATTATAAATAGTTTTATGCTTGTAACTACTATTATAATATTAGTTATTATTATTTTTTTTTTTCATTGTAATTATTGTAAACAAACTTATTATTACTATTACTATAATATATACTATAACTATTTTTTTTATCTTATATTATTATAATATATAATAATTATTATTACTATAATTATTATTGTTGTTACTATCAAAACTATTGTAAAAATGATTTACGAAAATAAATAGCTTGTTGTTGTTGTAAATAGAATAACTCTATTACTCTATATTCGCTTGATATAATATTAAATTTGTTTTTTTTCTCATCATTAAGGCCGTTCTCCATTCAGAACTTTTTGCGCTTTGGAGAAGCGGAAAAGTTCTTTGAGTATGCGCAAACAGTTTTTTTAAACCCGTTCTCCAATCAGAATTTTTTGCGCATGCTCAAAGAACTCTTCCGTTCCTCCAGGGCGCAAATAGTTCTGAATGGAGAACGGGCTTTACACTCGAACTCGAAAATTCTTTCAAGTCATTAAAAAAACATCCAGTTTGCCATACGTCGTATGCGCTATTATTGCAAAGATTAAAAACCACTGGGACATGAGAGGAATTTAAGGACCAATAATTTTGAAAGATATATAATTTTTTCTTTCAAATTATATATCTTTCAAAAATTCAATTAGATGCTCTGGCCCCTTAAACTCCGTGGCCTGTCGGCACGTGTTCGGTGTGTCTGTGGGTTAAACCGGCACTGTACATAACTCATATTAAAATATATAATTTACTTAGATTTAAAAGTAATTCTTTTTTTTACATAATTTATATAATATGTAAGACTTAATTACTTAAGTTTAGTGTTTTAAATGAGTACTTAAAAAAGTAATTTATTTTTACAACTAAAAGTAACTTGCATTTTTACTTTTACTTGCAAATATAACGAACTTAATTACCATTAAATAAGTTAATTATTAATTAATTAACTTATTTAATGATAAGTCGTGTAAAGTAATTTACTTTGAAAAGTAATTTTCGTTATAATTATGTAAAAAATTTACATCAAAATGTAATTTATTTTTTATATGTAAAAAAAGTTATTTATAAAATAAACTTACGTAAATATAATATTTAAACATAACACTTACTTTGAGAAAGTGTTATGTTTTTTAAAAATTATATTTACGTAACTTACATGTTATGTTTTTTAAACACCTAATAGTTAGGGTAGATTAAGGTAATAGCACCTTAAGCGAAAATTGGAATATTTTCAAAAATAATTATGCTGGCTCCAAAATTTTTGCGAATAAACAACTTTTGTGATCACAATCCACTTAAAAATTTAGGCACTCGAAATTTTTTCTTGAAATCACAGAGATTTTAAAAAAGTAGGAAAAGTGCTCATATTACCAGGACCACTTGGTAATATGAGCACTTTATATTAGTTTAAAAAAATAACATTAATTACGTAAAAAATTACCAATCTGACAATTAGAACTAATTTTTGAAACATAATAATTCGTTATTAACAAATCTTATTATTTAAAGATTAAAATTTATGCAACAACAAAGAAAATAGTTCGTTATTTTTTCAACTTTATTAAATCAAATATTTGAACAATAAAAATACAGACTTTGTTTTTAAATTACAGAAAAATATTTAGTAATATTTAAATATTAAAGTTTTTTACTATGTTTTGTTTTTATTCAAAAAGCAATCAAAACCACTGCTATTTTAGGATTTTAAACTAGGTAAAATGGCATCTTTTAATGAAGTCAAAAATAAATGCTTCTATGGATTGTTTTTAAAACAAAAACGGATTAGATTTTTAGCTAACATATTTTTCTCTATGAAAAAATTAATTTCAGCACCAAAATTTTGCGCCACAGATTTATTCATGCGTGATAATATTATTTTAACAGTACAAAAAACTTAACAGCGTTTTAATTAGATGATAGCCGCTAATTACTGCATATAAATTTACGCTAATTGTACTGATTTCTGTTATTACCACATAAAGTCGATTTAAAAAATACCAAGCAACTTTAACTTAAATGCTTACATCTAAGAAATCTTTAAATATGCTCATCTTACCAAGGTGCTTATATTACCCTAATCTACCCTACTTACAAAGTAAAATAAATTTCATCATAAAACCAAATTACTTTTACGGGTAAAAGTAACTAATTGAACCCGTCATTTCGAAAAGGCCACAAGTCACACTTTTTTCAAATTTCACTTTTTAATGCAATTTTATTTATTCAAGTGTTTTACATATTCCCTTTGAAGGAGAAACGTTTTCATATGCGATAAGTCAACTTTAAATGCAAATGAAAATTAAAGTCTGTTTGAAAATGGCAAAAGTCTCGGACTTATGCCTTTTTCAAGTGAAGCGAAACGCAACTGTAGTGACGTAATTTCACTTTAGTTGTAACAAAAATGGAAAATCGCAAACTTGCTGAAAATGCATATAGATCTAGAAAAAGAGTGTCTGGTATAACAAACAGTGGAAATTATAAACACAAAAATAGAAAAAAAGCCAAAATTGCTAGAGAAGCTTATAAAAACCACAAAGAAAATGATGTGGCACCAAGTCAAACGAGTGCTTCTTGCACCAAGTCAAACGGGTGCTTCTTGCACCAAGTCAAACGGGTGCTTTTTGCATCAAGTCAAACGGGTGCTTCTTGCAGGTCAAACGGGTGCTTCTTGCAGATTTTTTGTTCTATAGAGTATGACTAGATTCGTTCTCAAATTTTTGCTTATTTACTCATGTTTTACCACCAATAATTGGAGGTAAACATCTTGATATATAATTATTATAATATTACCTCAATAATTCTATTTATTTACAGATGTAATTCAAAGTGTATGGGGCTTGTATCTGAAGATTTTATAGAAAGTACAAATCAGTTTGTTAACAAATTTGATTGTAAAAATGCCCAAGACACATACTTGCAGTCATTAATTGAAAAAAAGGAAATAGAGAGAAGACGGTTTAGATCTAAAAAACCTAAGAAAAAAGAATTTACTTTTATTAATCACATTAAGATTGAAGGTGTAAAAAGAAAAGTACGCAAGAAAGCTTTTTGCTGTATGCATGGAATTTCTATGAAACAATTTAGAAGTTAATGCATTTTATGAAGAAAAAAAAAGAGCCGCTTATAGATCACAGAGGTAAATCTCAGTGATCACGATGCAACGCATTACCTGGAGATAAATTAACAAAAGTACGTTAGCATATTCAAACGAAGTATTTAATTTTGTGCTGAAATATATTTTAAAAAGTATTGGCAACGAAGCCAAAGAACTGCACCTATTTTCTGATGGTTGTGCAGACCAAAACAGAAATCATGCCATGGTTCGAATACTTTTATCACTGGTAGCTGAACTAGATAGCAATATAAATGAGATACTATATTACATACCAAAAAGAGGTCACTCTTTTTGGTATATAATATTAATACAATATTACATACCAAAAAGAGGTCACTCATTTTTGCCAAACGATAGAATGTTTGAAACAGCAAAGCAACATTCGAAAAAATGATCGGATTTACACACCAACAGAGTATGAAAATCTTATAGCTAAAGCAAGCTAAAAATTTGAAATTAGAAGGCCCAAAACTGAAGATATTATTGATGTAAAAAAATGGTGGCTAAACTATTATAAGAAACTTGTGCTACCTATGAATTCCTATGGAAAAGGAGTACCCAAGGACAAAAAACTTACTTTTGGTTTTTCTAAAGTCTCACATTTCACATTCTCTAATACCACACCAGGTTCAGTGACAACACGTGAATCCATAGATTGCTTAGTCAGTTATAATTTCCAGCTATTACAAAGGATGGGTACCCGGTCCACCTTGCCATTAATTAGTACTCCTGCATATGTTGGAAAATTGCCTATCAATGAAAAAAATATATCAGATTTCAAAAATATATAAAAATATATTCCATATTCAATAGAAGAGAACCAAAACTTCTATAAAAAGGTTTTTGCTTCACCAACAACTTCGGCAAACAATGAATTCCAAGAAATAAATGATGATTACCTAACAATAATTGTTTTTATGTGATAAAAAATCATTATTATTCTGATAATCTTTTTTTTTATATATATATACAAAAAAGCGTTCATTCCGAAAAAGACATAAGTCCATAAATTTAAATTAGAAATATATGTGTTATATATTATTTTTTTATAACAAATAAAACTCTAAAAACTTATGTATGACTTTTATTTATCTACTCTTATCTTTAGTTTCTTTAGCACCATAGACTTTTTTTTAATAAACTTATTTTTGTTGATCCTGAAAAGTTTGAATAAATGAACTTGTGCCCTTTTCGAAATGAAGGGTTCAATTAGCAAAAACAGCTTACATAAAAGTAATTTAAAAAATATTGTTATTTACAATTACAAATAAAAGTAAATTTTGTCATTGAGATATTTTACTTTATTTTGCAAGTAAGTAAAATCTAAGTTATCTTATTTACTTTTTCGCAGTCATTTCATTTAATTAACATAAATTTTGAGATAGGTAGCGTATTCAAATGGGTTACCTGTTTGTGGTTACTTTTGGTTATTACTTCAGGTAATACTCTAATATATGTGGGCAGTGTTTGTGTTGGGGCAATTTAAAAGGATTTCCTTTCACGTATATCATAAAGGGTAACTCTATTATAATTAGGGGCAAATATAATCAACGTGCGGGTATACCAGTAGAGTAGAGACGAGAGGAGGGGGCATAACTTCATGCTACGCTACCGGATGCTACCCATGCGTCAAAACAGTTTTCAAAAAATTATTAGTCATTTAAACTATCTGATATAATCTATATGATAAAAGGAGTGTTTATCAGATATAACGCCATGGTTCCTTATGGGCAGAATTGCATGAAAGAAAGTAAATACATAAATATATTATGAAAGCATTCTTGAAAGAAAGTTGTTTACATGAGATTTTTTTCTTTTTTCATAATAAAGACATCGATTATGGTTTATTTAAGATTATTTTAACTATTTAAGTCTAAATTTATATCATTTATATTTTTAA